TTTTTTTTTTTTTTTTTTTTTTTTTTTTTTTTTTTTCCTTTCTGTAGTGTATTAAATATTAATGACTAATTATATTTAAGAAACTAAGGGAAAGTGTGTAATTATTGAAATTTTTTTAAAAAAATTAGTTTAAATAAAAAAGTATTGAGGCCTTTAATTAAGGATTTTAAATAATATAATTAATATTCATGGTATTTATTTTAGTATCGATATTTTTTTTATAAAAATTAAAATATAATGATATTTAATTGAGATTTTTCGTAACCTATAAAAAATAATAATAAATTTGTTTTATATTTGAAAATTTCAAATTAATTTTACTTATTATTATTTATAAAATTTATCATCAAAGAATTTAACTCAATTGATTGAATAAAATGTATGAGTATTATATATTTAAATTTGATTTTTATATATAGAAAAATGAACTCCGACGAAAAAAAATAGTTATTAATGTTTTCTTTTATATTCTAAAGTGGCAAATCATTTGAGACAGAAAAATATTCTAAAAAGTGATAAATAAAATGACACTGTCTAACGTTACTAAAATAATAAGAGTATTTTATTCTAATATCATTATTTTATTATAAAAACATATATAATCAATCATTTCTTATGTGCATGAGAATTACAGGCCCACACCGAAACAATCGATTTGTACGATGAACAACATGATCCTATCCAACTAACTACTACATTAATAAATACGAGTATTTTATTCAAATAGCATTATTTTATCAAATGAAAATTGATATTCTATGTTGTTGAATTGTGTCGATCTACCGTTAAATTAGAATATATATACTAGTAGTATTGAAATATTTTGTGATTTTATATGTATTTTATCTTAAGATAAAAAAATAACTTATTTATAAAATTAATTTATCTATTAATATTTATTAGTATAAATAATTTTATGTTATTTATATAATTGTGTATCTCATATTTATTAATGAAGTGTATATTAATTATAGTGTAATATTATAAAAACTATAAATATTTTTCATTTTTTTACTTATGTCTCTATTATTTTCTTAATAATATATATAATCTAATTTTTCTTTATATTTATAATAATAATGATTAAAATATATTAAAAATTTTATGTTCTAGATTATTATAACTGTAATCATAGATTAAAGTAGTATATATATATATATATTATCTACAACATAATACTTTATAATTATAAAATTTTAAATAATAATTTTATTTTAAGATAATTTTTAGCTTTCTTGTAATTTATAAAAGAAAATAAATATCATTTGGTTAATATTTATAGTTAACATTATCATGAAAGAAAACACATATTAAACATATATAATTAAACTAAATAGTTTAACACCTTTTGAGAATAATTTTAAATTTTTTTATAGAATACATCATTCATAATTTCTTTGGTTTTAAAAAAGCTACAAAGTAAATCACACAATATCATGTATCAATATGATATATTTAACATTTCATATAATTTATTCTAGTTTATGAAAGAAATAACCATAACATCAAGAATGGAGATATTTTGTTTTGCATATATTATTATATTACCTTTCTAATTTTTGAGACAACAAATCTTTTTTTTTATCATTTTCCAAAGTTGATTTTTATATGCTATTAATGTAGAATTCCTTCCAACAAAATATATTTTTAAATGGTGAATCAACAACAAAGAAATTTAAAATTTAAGTAAATAAACAATAATACAATATGAAGATGTTACACTAAAATTGAATTTAACCTTATTGTCAATTGGGCAAATTGTTCTGAATGAATACTGGTCCTTCCAATATTTCATAACTTTTCAAAGTCACCCTCTTATAAAATATAAGTAATGTTATGAAAAAGTGATAATAATAAGGTTCTATGATAATAAATAAATATGTTATCAATTACTTGTTTGTCAAAATACATATTCAAATACTTTCTATTAATCTCTTCATATAATTGGAGGATCTTTTGAATCTTATGTAGATAAAAAATATATGAAATAAATTATAATTTTTTGTATATCATCATCAAATATTAAGCTAAACCCATAAATACTATAAATGAAAAGGAACAACACCCAAGTTTGAAATAACAAAATTCCTTTAAAAACAACATTTTTTTGTAATATTTTTATCTTCCCCTTCAAGTTTCCCTTCTTTAATAAGAATTTTTGTTAAAGCTTGAGAAACACCTCTTTGACTAAGCAAGATATAATTGACCATGACTAAAAACATGTCATGGAAGATAAATTCCAACATTAGGTATTGTTTGTTTTTGTGACTTATTTATAGTAATTGAAAAACTTAGTTTCACAGAAAACTACTTCCTAATAAGCACAAAGGAAAGTCTTGCACTCTCTATTGTATTATGTTTAATCTTAGGAAGAAAAACTCTCTTTTCAGTATTATGACCTGTTAGGATATTAACATTCAACATATTCATATAGAATCCACGACATAATAACCTTGTTCCATTACATAAGTCATCTTTAGGGTCTATGTTTCGCAACAACATTAGGTGTGCACCTTTTTTAACCTTTAGATTATGTGGTGCAAACCACCTAAAGTAATATAGTGCACGTATTTTTGTTGATATAAGTTGTGTGTGCCCCCTTCAAATGATAACAAATCACCCTCTTCTCCTAGGAAATGACTAATGATGATGTCATTAAGTTTTTAAACATCTTTATTTTCGGTGTTAATATGGCTCTTTCTACCATATAAGATGCATCCCATGTATGAGATTCTAATTGGGGAAGTGTATCACAAATAAATTTTAGTATTGAATTTTCTCCTTCCCATGTTATTTCAATTTGGCAGGGTAGTTTCACCATATCATCACATTTGGTAGGTTAAATACCATCTTCAATGCACATTAGATATTCTGCAAAATTATGATCTTGTAATAATCGCATGTTTTGTCGCAAATGCAAAACCTTTGTGATAGACCATAAATAAGACTTAACAATGCATATACCATTTGTGTCTTCGCACCCTTTTGAACAACAAGAAGTACTTGGTGAAAATCCCCTCCCAATATCATAATTTTACTACCAAATAGAGCCTCATAATCTAGAATATTCTTTAATGATCTATCTAATGCTTCTAAAGCATATCTATTTGTCATAGGTATTTCATGCCAAATGATTGTTATTGTTTCTTTAATTAGCTTCGCAAGATCAGACTTATTACTTATTGAACAAAGTGAATCTAGCTTTACATTTATTGATATCTTAAATCAAGAATGTGCAATTTGACCACCTGGTAATAGTGTTGCAGCTATACTAAATGAGGCAGTTACTAAAACAAGTTGATCATTACTTCTCAAATTTGCAATTAAAGTGGGATAAAGGAATGTTTTACCTATCCCTCTTAGGCCATCCACAAAAGAAAACTTGACTTTGTTTATTGTTGATAACATGCATAATGGAATTGAAAGCAATTAATTGATCATTATTTAATTTCTATACAAATTCCATATCTTCATTATTTACTTAGACAAATTATCTCCTCTTGTATAACCATTAGCAATGAAGTACATTGAGTTGCCTCCATTGTTATTGTTGGCAAATCATAATTTGTGATTTGTTTTCCATGTTGAATCAAAAGGTCATTCAAATCCTTCATTAACATCTTAATCAAACTTAACCTCGTAGCAATGCTTGTTGAAGGATAATCTTCCACCATGTTGGTGTAAAACTCATCCTAGAGATATCTAACATCAATTGGTTCACAAAAAATTTATTCAATGACAAACAAACTCCTTAAAGAATTCGTAGACTTGATGCTTCAACAAGTATTCACGAATACTGTTATCACTTTCCAAAAATCCCCTGTGCTTAAGGTTGGCAAATAAACTTGTACCCGTGGGTAATACCCAAACTTGTCCCAACTTTGACAGAGAATACTCTGTTTGATCGGGTATGGGTACAAGTATGGGTAAAACCCAAAATATTAAATCGTGGACAGGGACAGATACGAGTATATATTTACCCACCCCATCCTCATACCTATCCTTGTACCTACAGTCTGTAAAGTATCATCTTAACCACCTCTTAATCTTAAGTAAAATCTTTAAGGGGATTCTTTAAGGATTATAGTTTTGCCATATTGGCTATTTATACAAAGTTAATGAGCTAAACTTAATATAAGGTGGTTCTTAAAGTTTTGTGAACTTCTCCCAAAAAATCTAATGGTAAGTCTAAGGCCTATACTAGAAACTATGCTATAGAGCACCCATGTAATCACACTCCCACTAAGTACACCTAAAGGTTGCAATTTCTTAAAGATTTTGGTATTGTTCCTTAGGATTATAACATATTGCACATGCATCAGTAACTTAATTAAAACTTTTTCCACTTTGACCATCCCCCTAAGATCTTGGTATATCTTTATAACTTTGGGGGTGAAGACTTATATTACTTTTATGCCCTTCCTTTAAGCTTATATTCTTAAAACAAGGAACACTAAGTGTACTCAATTTGTAACACCCCTCAGATTTGATGTCTTAACAACTCCACTTCACGACACTTTACATGATGACACTTCAAACAATTCCTCATTGGTCAAAACCCTTCACTGGTCAGAAGCCTCCATGAGTAGTGCTTTTTGAGATGTTTGGTCACCTTTAAGATCAATGACTATTCCCACAAATCAACAAAAAACTTTTAAGCGTGTTTTGTCTTCACTCGTACACTTTCTAAGAAACTTCCTAGAAGGTCACCTATCCCTAAATTACTCTAAGCCAAGCATGCTTAATTGTAGAGTTCTTATGTGATAAGCTAACAAAAAATAGATGCATCTTATTGGTATATGTAGTAT